GGCTGTCTTCCTTCGCTCTAACGGCTCGATCTTCTACTAATAAAACGGGACGAATTTCCTTAGGAATCCCGTTATCCTAATATATATCTCTAGCTAATCTAACGTTATCGGTATCTTAAGTTTCGATAGGGTAGTTATCTTATCTAGGGTAGTCGATAGTCTCCGTCCGTCTACTATAAACCCTAGTAGTTTAACGGATAGGAAGCCGAAGAACGACTTCTTAGGGTTTATACCGACGTTATACTTCTCGAAGATATCTAGGACTTGTTAGACGTAGCTCCGGTACTCCTTTACCGTCTTACTAAAGATAATAACATTATCGATATATACTCGATAGAATCCTTTAACCTCGTATAGGATCTTATCTATAAAGCGTTACCCGTATACCGGCGAGTTCTTAAAGCCTATTAGAGCGACTTTAGAGTACTTTAGTCCTTTATAGCTTACGATAACTATTCTATTCTGATAAGGCTTCTAGACGGGAAGTTAGTAGAAGTATACCGATATATCTAGAACCGAAAAGTATCGATAGCTTATTACCGCCGATATAATCTTCTCCGGGCTCGGTATAGGATAAGTATTAGGTACTATATAGCGGTTAACTAGTCTTAGGTCGATTACTATTCTACCGACTAGCTTCCCGTCGACTATCCTTTATATAACGAATACCGGATATACGAAAGAAGTAGCTTATCTTATCTAGTCCGACTTTCCTTCCTCCTAAAGGCCGTTTAGCTTCTCGTCGATAACTACTTTATCCTTCGCGCTAGTATTATATAGCTTAGATATTAGTTTCTTCTATTACTAGCCGTTAACTAGATCGATTTATATATATTCTAACTTAGGTATTTTCGCGAAGCCTTTTCCGCCTTAGTATTTAAACTTTTCTAGTATAATCTTTAACTTCCTTACTAGCCTTAGGTCGCGTATCGCTACCCTAGTTTTATCTTTTGTAACTAGGACCGGGACCTCGTCTACCGGTATAAGGCCTAAAGACTTTACCCGGGTCGGATTAATATCTCTCTCCTTCGCCGGCTAATTACCGCTTTTGCCGTCGACGATGTTATCGATTAAGTTGTAGACTTTTATATCGCTTAAGTCGAGTAACCTTTAGGTTATATCGTCTATCGGGAATTCCTAACCGGAGACCGTATCCGAGCTGATATAGTACGCCGTTACTTTCTCTTAAGTTATCTAGAAGAAACCGTCTTCTTCGTTATCCTTAATCGTGCCGACCTTCTGATTACGCTTAATCGTTAGGGGGGTATCTATTTAGTTTAGTAGCCTTACTATCTAACTCGATTCGGTCGATATAATATATAGGATATCGCCGCTTACGTTAGTATAGAATATATAGTTTTATTATTAACCGTTCTCGTCCCTAGTCGGTAGTAATTTATATTTAACGTTAATATCGGTAAAGCTTCTCGGTAGGATTGTAATCTTCTTAAAGGCTAAGACTCTTCTTATTACCGGTACCGACTTCCGAATTACCTCGAATACTATTATTAAGTTATCGTAGTTCTACTACTTAATCGTCTTATCCGGATAGCTTATAATCGCCCCGTATAGGTCTAGGAAGCTAGTTCCGAGGAGTAGGTTTAATCTAAGGTTATCCTGTATAAGCGCGTCTATATCGAAAACTCCGTATATCTTAGCTTCCCTTCTTAATCCTAGGACTTAGATCTCGAACGTCGCCTTCTCGTCCAGGACTAGCTACCCGGATACGGTCCTTATCTGTTTCGGCTCGATCTTCCTAATTACTACGTCCTTAAAGTTCTAGGTTAGCTATCCTTTGTCTACGATAATCGAGGAATACCTAGTATCGCCGTAAACGTCCAGATCGGGGCCGTCTTCTCTTACCTTAACTATAAATCGTAGATAGGTATTTTTGCCGGCTCCCGGCGTTTTTAACGAGGGGTATAGTCTTACCCTTACTATCGGTATTCCGTTCGCGTAAAAGGCTGTTAGAGTTTCGCTAGCCTAGGCTAGTTCGGGCGCCTATTCGGGAACCTTTTCCGGTAGATTATCGACTCGAGTCGGCTACGAATTATCTTATACTTAGGCTACGGCGTAAGGTATCTCGACGTACTACTACTAAGTAGGTTTACTATAATCTAAGACGGGTTCGGACTTCCTTTAGGTACGGGATAGTTTTACGAGTTCTAGACCGGATCCTTTTAGCTTTAAGATTATATAGACGTTAGAGAAGACGTAGGCTATAAGGACGTTTCTTAAATCGAAGGTAGAAGAGTATTTTCTGTAAGTATTACGATTATTTAAGTCGGATGTTACGGTATCGTTATATTTAGGACCGATATAAGTATAAATATTGTCGTTCTCCTTATCTAACTTATAAGCGCTCTCGCCGTCCGAGATATCGTCGTTACTAATAAAGTAAAAACCCTCCTATACTAAAGTCTACTTCCTCTCTTCCTAGTTATTATCCTACTCGTATACTATCTCGGTCTAGACCTAATATATCGCGCCCCGCGGGTTAGGCCTAACCTAGCGCCTAAACCTCTAGGGATAAGTATATCGCCTTTACTACTATCTATTCCGCTCCCTATAGCCTTTAAAGCTTTAACCGTCCTATCGGGGATAACGGGGGCTGTCCCGAGACTAGTATTTTCTACGCTATTATCTACCTCGAGCCTAGTAGTTACCGCGTCCTTACTACCCCGAAGCGAATCCTTCTAAGCTATATCCTCCTAAGTTATATCCTCCTAAGCCGTATCCTCCTAAATTATAGCCTTCCGATCCTTATCCGTACGATCTACCTCGACCTTTCGAGTTAAATCGGTTATATAGGCCTTCTCCGTAGAATAAGTCGTCTATATTATAGGCCGAGCTAACTAGGATGTTTAGATTGCCGCTAGGTACCTTTAGTATAGCCTTTAATAATAAAGAGATGTTATTATTAAAAGGTTAAGTAATATTAAAAGAGTTTAAATTAATAAGGCGACTGCGAATAGATATCTTTTCCGTAATATACTTAATGTAATCGATTAGTGCCGTATCGGCTATAGGTTTATTAATAAGTAAACGGATCGGGTCGGATATACCTATATATATCTAAGCTATAATTTAAGTATAGGTAGTTAAGCCTATAGCCTTAGTAAGTTAGACTCTCTCTATCGCGTAGGAGTCGAAGCGGATATCCTTCTTTAGCTAGTTATCCGTAAAGACGTAGGCTATTATCTCCTTTAAAGCGTCGACTAGGTCGAGGCCCTATATCTTCTTAAGCTTCTCTCCCTATAGGTAGATATCCGTCTTTAGTACCTCTCTTTCCGCTAAGCTTAGACCGCCGATATACTACGTTTAAGTTAATCTATATAGTAGTTACTAAAGGTTCGCTACTACTAGCTTCTTCTTCGGCGCGGTATCGGTATAGTTAGTAACCGAATCCTAGAAGAGATTAACGTCCTTATAGTATATCGATGTACCGATAATAAATAAGGCTTCTCCTAGCTTTATATCGAGGGACGGGTCGAAGTACCCGATATACTAGACCTTTTAGTTCTTAGTATCCTCCTATAATATATAGTTATTAGCTATAACCCGTCCGATATTAAGTAGCTCCTCGAGTATACGGTCGGATCGGTTTAGGTTATACTCCCTATCTCTATCCCTATCTCTATCCCCTATCTCGTCGAGTAGGTCCCGAATAAATAGCGACGACTCGGCTAATAGTTAACGTAGACCTTAAGGTAGTGTTACGGGTCGAGGTATATCTTAGGATATAGGGCGTTACTCTTAGGGTATAGGACGTTATTCTTAAGGTATAGGGCGTTGTTTTTATAGTAGTATAGGAGAGAGCGTCTCGACCCGGTTTAATCTAATAGCTATCTTAGTATCGAACTACTTTTAAAACTTCCGATAGGTTTTATTAAAGTCGATTAGGACCGGCTTAATGTAAGCGGGTTTTGTCCTAAAGCCTTACGGTACCCCTAGACCGGCTTCTAAGTCTAATATACCGTAGAGATCTTCTTCTTATAGCTTTACGGGAGATAACTTAACTCGAGCCCTACCGTATACCGGCCGTCTTAGGATAAACGGTTAGTTATTAAAGCTATTAAGGAAGGCTCCTAGTCCAGTCGCGGGGGGTAGTTTATACTTCTTTTACTATATAATAAATCGGAGGACGGTATCGAGTAACTATCTAGGTAAGTATAGCTCGACGTACTACCTTATCGGGAAGTAACCCGGACCGGTTATAGTTCCGTTATCTATAACGGACCTAACTTAGTTAAAAAGGTTCTTAGGTAATACCTCGAGATACGCTTCGAGCTACTAAAGCTTAGTAATACTAAGCTTATAAGTAGTTGTATACTAGGCGAAGTTAATAATCTCCTAGCTAAGGACGAGTTTAGGGGGAGGTCCTTAAGTTATTAGTAGGGTAGTTTAATAGGGTAAAAAACGTTAAGATAGCGTAGTATAGTATTAGATTAATCGGTCGTCGACCCCGTCTAGGTCGATAGCCGAAGCTAAGCTACTATTATTAAGGGTTACGGATTGGATGGAATTAAATGGAATCAGAATTGGATAATCTGGTTCTAGATAATAATCGGGGGATGGATTTCCCCGTAGGGAAATCCTCCAGATAAATGTAACGCGTCTGGCCCGTACGCGGAGGAAGCGCCTGCCGCGAGGGCAAGGTGCTTCCTACCGTAGCAACTATCGACTGGAGGCACTCTCGCAGTGGCCGCACGCAGGAAAAGAACCGGCCACACAGCCGTTTCTCCCCTGGGCAGGGAAAAAAATGGACAATGCCAAAAAGGTCGACCGTCGCAATGCGTGCCGAGGAGATCAATCCCAGCCCGGGAGGAAGAAGGCCGTGCCACGAAGCGGCACATGGTGTGGACGACGCCGCGGTTGGCGGTTGCAGGTCGAGACGGTGGTTCTTGTTTGATGTTGGTGTACGCGGGCGCTTGAAGGTAGAGTGCAAAAAACACTCCCCGCAAAAAAAGATGTCATCCCCTCTCGGGGATGGATGGAATTGCGTCAGCCGCGAATCGAACGCGGGGCCCATCGAGATTCGCATGTTATGCAATGGCAACGATGGATTTTACCACTAAACCACTGACGCTTTGTTGGGTGGATGCTGGATGCGTCGCGAAAACTTCCCAAGTGAGAAAAAGATGTGGTGGGTTGGTAATGGGGTTGGTGGATTGAGATCTGACTCGCGCTGGTCGTGGTGATGGGGGAAAGTCTTGGCGTTTTGAGTGGGCTGGTGCGACGACCCCTGAGAAAGTAAACAATGGACGACATTCTGGGATTTCATTGGAGGCAACACCAAAACCACGAACAATCTGACATTCTATTGGGACGCGAGGCAAGTATCGATTCGGTCATCATTCCAGACCCTAAAAGTATATAAATACCAAGTTTATTCGATGCCCGAGCATCCCCTTCTAGGTAATTATGCCATGGAACATATGAAATCTAACAACAAACAGGAGAAAAAGAAGCAGAAAAGAAACCGAAACAATCCCACGAGCCAACTCACCCCGTCCGGTTCGACTCTCATAACCATCATGACAAAAAAACCCACAAGGCTGGCCAGACCCTTTCATCCCGACATAAACATACCAAGCCGATTTTCCATCCCCCAAAATCGCTCCTCATCCTCGTGGTCGTCGTCATCATCATCAGAAGCCACAAACCCCTCCCAAAATCCATACCCACAGACCCTTCACTCCTCCTTCTCCTTGCCCTTCCCATCCTTCTCCACCCCCTTCCCCTCCACCTTCTCCTCCTCCACACTCCCAAGCACCCCCACCCCCCCCCCAGACGTCACCCCCCCCTGCCCCTGCACCGGCGGCGCAATCGGTCCAAACTGCCCACCCCCCCTCGCCCTCCACGACCCAGCCCCTCCAACCGTCACACTCCTCTGCCCGCCAAACCTCCCCACCCCACCACCACCACCCCCCGGCACGACCCTAAACCTCGCCGCCGCCGTCGCCGGCCCCGGCCCCCCTCCTCCCCCGTCCTCCCCCACCCTCGCCATCTCCGCCTGCTGCCTCTTATACCACAGCGGCAGCCCATTATTCAGCCCCAGCGCGACCTGCACGTCCCTATCCATCGGCATCTCGTGCTTGTACTTGCACCCCTGCTGCGTGAACGCGCAGGTGCCCTCGTGCACCCACTTATCGCAATAAACCTTGTTGCGCTTCGGGCGGACGGGCGCCGATGGCATGGCCGGCACGGCGCCGGGTCTGCTCTGGTTGGCCGAGCGCGCGGCCACGATGCCGTCGATGCGGGCCTTGTGCGGGGGCGACCACCCCAGGGGGCGGAAGTGGTCAGCTGCGAACTGGAGAGGGTGTGCGTTAGGGGGGGGGCCGGCGCTTGCGTGGGGGGGTTTTGTGGGGGAGGGGCAAGTGGGAACTCGAGGACATAAAGGGGCTTACTTGGAGGTCCTCGGGGGGGTAGACGAGGCCCGGGTGGCCCTCGTACGGGTTCTTGGTGGCCGAGGCCGGCGAGGGTTGCTGTCTCGGCGCGGGTGCGCCCGGGGCATTGTCGGCGTTGTCCTGTGCATTGTGCGGTCAGTGTTGGTCTTTTTCATTCGAGTCCCGCGGGTTTGGATTAAACGGCCTTGCAAACAAAACGATTGTCTAGGGCCCGCCTTTTTATCCCAACGCCCGAGGCACCATCCACAAGAAGCCATCAAGCACAATAAAAGAATCTCGAAGGAAACATACCTGAGCCACATTCCCCTGGACCGAAATCCTCTGGTTATAAAACCAATGTCCATCCGGCGCCGGCACCCTTGGCGGCGGCAACACCCACAGCCCAAGCCCGGAAGCATTGTGAATCTGCCTCGGGACTCCCACCAGCGGCGGCAGCATGTCGGCCGGCACGAGCGGCGTGTACACGCCCCAGCCGCGGTGCAGCACGTACGTGTGGTACGGCGGGCTGTCGACCGGCACCGGCGCGACTCCGGTCCTCGCGGCCTCTTGCCGGATGGCCTGGTCGACGAGGGGGTTGCGCTGGCTGGTCGCGTACAGCGACATGGTGTTCTGCTCGTCGGCGGAGGGCGGATACTGCTGGTTGCGGGTGATCATCTCGACGAGGAGGGCCTGTTCGGCGGCGGCGTCGTGGTTGGGGCCCCGGATGTGGGGGTTGGGCACCGAGGGGTCGCGAAAGTTGTGCCAGGACATGATGGTCGGGTTGCCGGCTGCGAGCTGGTGCTGGAGAGCCTGCTCTTGGTAGAAGGCCTCGAGGCCATGGCTGGCGGGCGTGCGGGCGGCGGGGGTCGCGAAGGAACCGACGGGTGTGGCGCCGGGAATGGGCGAAGGCTGGCTGGGGACGCCAATGCCAAACTGCCTGTCGTCTGACGAGGCAAAAGAACGCGCGCCGGAGTGGACGCTCGCCGGGGAGCCGATTCCAGCGCCGAGCCGAGATCCGCCTAGAGCGAGATTCTCATAGGCGGTGCCCGGCGTCCTCCAATATCCCGCCGGGCCCAAGCCCCGAGGCAAGGAAGAGGCGGCGGCGTTGTTGCTCACTTGGTGAGCGGTTGGGGTGGTCGGCTCTGTTCGCAAAGGGAATTAGAGAATGGGAAACCTCGGATGGTGGAAAAGACACTTACCCTGCTGCCCTTTCGAGCGTGCGTCGACGACCGAGGCTTGCGCCTCTGGAGTGTTTCCAGAGGTCATCGCTTCTTGCCTCTGTCTCAGTGTCGCAAGGAAAGGGTCGAGGCTGGACTGGGTTCTTCCCAGTCCCGCAGAGAACCTGGCCGGCGTGGTAGTCCCGTCGTCGTAATCTTCGACGACGATCTTGGGAGCTGGAGCGGCGCTACCGAAACCGCCGCTGTGGTTATTTCCGAGGCCGTTGTTGGGGAACGGGACGGCAGTGCGGCGCGAAGGGGGTGAGGATCGAGGAGGGTATTCGAGGCGGGCGAAAGAGGACGTGAACTCAGTAGCTGTTGGACGTGGCTCGTCAGTCAGTTGGTCATGGTAGATGGCGTAAAGATTCCCATGTTATGAAAGGTGACGCTGGGCAGAACAGGAAGCATATCCTCTGTCAAGGAAGAAGCATCTAGGTATGCTCAAGTGTAGGTGAAGTGATATCCGTGTTCTGGTTCAACTTTGAACCACACGACCGCTGCCTGGAGAAATTTAACCAGAAAGGAAGGGGATAATTTCTTGACGGGGAAGATGCTCTGAAAAAAGGGAATAGACGACGAAAGACGTGATGCTCTCTGGGCAAGATGGAGCGCGTATGTGTACTGGAGCAGAATAGACTTACCTCGAGTGATAGGAACCGAATTAACTCCAGCCTGGCTGTGGTTGACGCTGCTCGAGTTTCGGAAAAGCTGGTAAGATTCAGTTTGGAGCTCCGGTCCCCGGGCGTGGCCGCGGAGCTCGTGGCTGCGCGGCTCCGCGCCGGCGGCTGTGCCGGTGGCATACCCCCGGTCGAAGCCGATTGGAATGCTGCCGATGCTGGCTCTTGCTCCGGAATAGCGAAGAGATCCGGTCAATGATCGGCCATGGCCGTTCCGGTCAGCACCCGCGGACCCGGAGTCCTCACCTTCACAGTTGACCTCGTCGTCGACCTCGTTCACTTCAAAGTGTCGGGGTGACTGAAGGCCACCTTCACAGTCGACCTCGTCGACCTCATCCAATTCAACAAAATGCCGGGGCGACGGGTGGTTAGGAGAAGAGATGAAGTCACTCCCACGCTCCCGAAAGGAACGTGGAACCACTGAGTGCAGCACATCTTCTCTCGCAGCGGCGGGAGGCTCCGTGTCCGGGGGAGAGGGCGGAGAAGCCATGTGCCTACTGGGAGTCACCACAGCAGAGCGGTCCAGGGTTCCTGCCATGGTGGTGGCCCGACGGGCTGGGGATCCCGTCAAAAGGTCCCCATCCCGTGAAGCTGAGTCGGCGTTGGGGGTTCCCATGGCGGGCGGGATGAGGAGGTACCTAGGTGACTTGAACAGGAGCGTGACAGAGGTGGCAAGGGATCGGCGTCAGTGAAAAGGGGGGGTGTCGAAGCTTGTTGGGGCCAGTGTGATATCGAGACTGATGAGCAAACGGAGAAACCACAGTCTTGCAACCGCAAAGCTCCCGGTGATGCTGCTGTAAACGCTGCTGCGTCTGGTTATGATATAGCAGCCTCCGTTTTCTAAACGAGCGGACTGAAGGAGCTTGGTTGTCGGGAGAAAAGGGGTGTTGTGTCGTTGATCTGGGACCGAAAGGGGCGAAAGGGGGTGGACATACAAGAAACCCAACCAAGACGGACTGGCCGATGCAAAGACGACAACGAACGGTGGTGAGGAAATTCCTCGGAGAGTGAAAGAACGATGTTGCTCCCGCGGCGGCGGATACAGGCGTGTATATGCGGCAAGACGGGAACCAGGGGGGCAGCACCAGAGAGATCCAGGAAGATGAACGACAAGGGTGCTTTTTGGGCTGGGCTGGGCTGGGGAATGAAGCAGTTTTTACCTTTATACGGACTGGAAGAGGATAATGTGGGCTCGGGCTTGTAATCTGCCTGCCCTCCACCTCATTGCCATGATTTCTTCGTACGGTTTCTGCATCCTCCCTTGACGCATGCCTATTCGCTCCTCGGAACACCTTTGCTTGCTCCCGCTCTCTGTCAGTTTGGGTTTCCAGCTCAGGTCTGAGTCAATTCAAGTGCCCGCCGGCACTTCCGGTGGAGATATGACATGGAATCCGGGGGGAAACATGAGGCCAAAGAAGAGAAGCACCCAGAGGCAAAGAAAACAAGCACAAACGGACCAGGCATGCCTCTCTGGGATCTGGTGGCGCGGGGCGCGGCGGGCGTTGCGTGGCGCCGGGTACGTGCATGCGGCAATGTATCTGCATCGCAGGCTGCTGCTGTATGTCTCCCACGTGCCAAACAGTCAAGGTTCAAGTTGTTTTGACTTTGTGGTGTTTTGGGCCAGCCACTTCTTTGTGTGTGATTTCTGGGAAAGCCGCGAGACGGGAAGACGGGAGAGGCGCCATGGTGGTTCAGTTTGCTTTGTCAGAGGACCGAGAGGGTGAGACCGTGGGATTGGGCTTGGGTTTGGCTTGAAGTGGCGAGAAGAAGGAGATGTTGACTGACGTGAAGTGGGAAGTGTGAAGT